TCCAACAGTCTGCTACCCACGGCTCTCTCAGGACAGACAGCTGGCGCTCTTCGGCTTTGGTGAGTTACCAGTGCTCACAACCATGTAACACTGATGTAAGGACGGTAGAATTAAAGAGGCTGGAGCGAGTTTCTCTCCCTATGTCGCCGAGGAGAACGATTTCGATAGAATAGAACTCGCACCAACAGGTCCTCGTTCTCCTTACAGTCACTCCCGTCTGTTCAAGCTGATCCACTGGCACAGGTAAACGTATTTCTCAATACGAGTCCTTCAATATTTCCTGGGCCTTTGGCGGGGCATGCGATCGCACTGATTCACAGTCAGCTGCTGCAGCATGTCTTGTAGCTGACTGGCGTTTTCCGCAAACAGCACCACGCCATCAGCAGGCTTTAGGTGGCTGAGCAGTCTACCGTTGATGTTAATGCCACCCTTCCAGCTTAGCCCCCAGAATACCATATCCGAATAGGCAGTGAAGAGTTTGAGGGTGGCGTTCTAATGTTTCACACCCTTCTCTGCAGGAACCCGGAGAGGATATCGAACAGCGTTTCGTACGGAAAGTATCCAGAGTTCGCTTCTTTAGGCAAGTTGATGTAAATGGTGCCAGTGCAGTCGACAGTTTCGAACGCTTTCTCGAAGTCTTTGACGACGATACACACAGACAGTTGATATTCCCTGGCAATCTCGACGAGATAATTTAAGGTAAAGATGCCATCCGTTGCGTTACAGCTCCTTCGGAATGCTGCTTGTTCACTGAGACTTGCCGGCAGCCTGTTGGTGATCTTGGTGAGCAGCTTTCACCGAGAGCAGGTCGAATGAGCGACAGTTCACCAGATTTTGTTTTTTTAACAACAGATTGTTTTTGACTCCATCTAGCTTGATGGTATCTAATTCGTTTACAGGTAGCAACTAAACCCCACTGCCCTCCACAGAGTCTGACTGCCTGTTTGGATTATTTCAATTATTAGGTCATCTCTCCCTGAGGTTCTTCCTTACTTGGTTTTTAGGAGGAC